GAGAGCAACTGGGGTCGGGCGAGGGAACGGCGCCTGTCCGGTTTTCTCCCGTGCACGAGAAACATGAAGAACGTTGCCTACTTGTGTCTTGCTTTGCAGTGTAATTATATTGTCTTCAACATTCCAGCGGATAGGTTCAAGCTACAAACCTATCAAGCAGAATAATGCAGAAAACAGAGATTTTTAGACAGGAAACTGTTCTTTAAGTGCACTGAGAGAGAGAGAGAGAGCTCTGCATGAAGTTTAATTTTATTGTGGTGGAAGCACAATAGCAAAAGTAAGAGCGAATTCATGCCGATGTTTATGTAAAGCGAAATGCAAAGTGTAGTTTGGATCCTCTTTTCGGCCCACCGACGCATCAGGATCTGTGAGCTGTCGGCTTTCAGTCCTGATGGCATACGGTGTACGTGCCGTCGGTCACTGACTCTAATGCGTCAACGGATCTGCTCTTTGTGTGGTTGTCGAAATGTTTTTGTGAAGTTTAACCTGAGATTCTGACGTTTTGGGCAAAATGAATTTATATTAAAAATCGATTCGGGATTTTAATGAATCGATATCACGTTATCCAAGTAAGAATTGATTTTAATCGATGAATTGATTATCAAAACCCACTTCATTACAAACCTATTAACTAATATCCAGTCTGCCATCATAGAAGCTTAACAGTGATGTGACAATTGAAGCTGCAAATGGACGGTCAATGAAGGCACTGAAGGTGTTCACAGAAGCTCTGAGACACCTGAAGGAGGACGCTCTGAAGTTCATCTCAGAAAATGCTGGTGGGAAGCAGTTCATAGCCTCTGACTTCACCTGGGTGGTGACTGTACCGGTCATCTGGGATCCTTCAGCAAAACAGTTCATGAGAGAAGCTGCGACGCAGGTAAAACGACAATAAACAGATGTACTGTACAACTGTTTTAAAGTGAAAAATAATTTATTTACCTTTGATTTATAGGCAGGAATTGTTACTGCAGGAAAGGAAGACAGACTGGTCATTGCACTGGAAGCAGAGGCAGCCTCAGTCTGGTGTAAGAAGCTGCCAGCTGATGGTTTTGAAACAGAAAATAACAGCAGAGTCACATTCGAACAGGCTTCAGGAACACAATACATTGTAGTGGACTGTGGAGGTACTCTATGTTTTCATAGTGTAATTTTTCTTACTTTTTATGTTTTTATGGTTTGAAAGAGGAGTGAAAGAAGCCATTTATATCCACTGTGAGCGACCATTGTTGAACAGAGGTGGTGGTTTACGACACCAGCTGTCTGCCAGCTATAATCCAATTTGACATCCCTTTCATTTCATTTCATTTATTTGTTCATTTTCAGGCACAACAAATACCTATATTGAACATAAAATACACAAAACAAAAAACAAAAATTGCCTGAAAAAGGAGTGGGACGAAGAAAACGTATTAAATCCCACCCCTATACTTACTCATCAACAAAAAAACAATAAACTTCCCGCAGCTACGCCCATCATTGCATACAGACCCATCAACAGCCCCGGGCACATACAAGCATCTAAGCGGCAGCTCGCAACCAACAATTAGAGCCTTCATAACTGAATACAGAATATATAAATTATAAATTGCATTACCACAAGTAACAGGCAGTAATAACTACAAGTAACAAACACACATACATATACATACATATCTACACACACAAGTACATATATGTACATACATACGCACACTTTTTTATTTATTTTTTTATTTTGGAATCCATACCAGCAATGGTAAGAGGACAAACATTACAGAGCACACTAAAAGCATCATTGAGTATACTGTGACCAGACCAACTGTTTGTAGAGAAATTTAAATCTATGAATATTTTTGCATTGTTTCAATTGTAAACTCAGACTGTTCCAGATTTTCACACCACATACAGACACACAAAA